TCCACAAAGTTTCTTTCACAATGCACTCGCCCGACCAAAACCTGACACTATCTTTAACATTAATCCTCTGCTTTACAATGCCTTATGATTATCACAAACGTTTTTTGTCATGTTTCAATGACATCAAATCCTCTTAAAATGCAATATTTATCTATGCTAATTCTTTTGTTTCATTTTCAGTGGCAGATTGGGGGGGGGGGGCACAATAGAACACTCTTTGACAAGCAAAGACAGGAACATAAGAAAAAACATTATCAACAACACTAAAGAATTTCAATCACATTATTTGCAGGTCCTCTTTTAGTGCAAAACAATCTGATAAGTTCAAAATTTGTCACAAATGTTGGTGTTTTTTCACATTTTGCACTACCATTTGACATAGAAACAGATTTTCACATCACATGACAAAACTAAAGCAAAGAATAACGGAATCATGTACAAAATATTTAATAATTTTCTTCATGTCCCGACAAAGACATGCCAAGTATAAGATAAAAAAAGGTGAAAAATTATACTGCAAATGTGCAGACTTTACACCTTCAAATAGCGAGTGAAGATTTAACAATACATACAGTACAAACAATTAAGTTATAGTAATTAGTAATACAATTTATATATATACAAATATTACATTTATCATCACTCTTACATAAATATTGGATTTTACAAATGAAGAAAACACAAAATTGAAAAGGAAAATAGTCACCACTTACCATAGTAAAGTATTGTATGTAAAACAAAAAAACATACTTAATTACTTATACAAAATATATATAAGGAGAGAAGTATGAAAAGCAACAAAAGTTACAGCAGAGGATGGAAATATCTAGCCAATAATTGTGAATAATTGTACAACAAGAAGTATGCCATAATTATATTTCATTATACCTAGAATATTCTTATAATTTCCACCCAATAGGAATTGTGGAGACTACTTTCCCTTTACCGAGAAAATCAAATTAAACTTTCAATTTAATGAGCTGTAACATAAAACGTCAATAAACTGGAGAACAAAGTTGCAAAGAAAATTTTTAGTAACACTATAAAACCAGAACCTATCACGTACAGTGAACGATAGTCATCTTAATTGCAGGAAAGTTAAACAAATCACAACATTGCACAAATCGTAATCCACTTGTTTTGGATCACAAAACTTTCACAAATCTGGAAAACTCGAGGAATTCACAAAACAGTCATGGCAAGCTGGAGTTTCTGCATTTAGATTGTGCTATAACCAAAAGAAAAAGATTATTATACTGTCAGTGTCAGTGATATCAAGGGAACTTCATTATTCAGAATGAAGGTCCATTGACTTAAAGGTTTGACAGTTCGACAAATAATTTCTTCAATCCCAATGTATGATGCATAATCAAAGATCTAACTCAACCCCCCCCCCCCCCCCCCCCCCAGTTCAACCTTATTTGTCATTCAACTTTTTCCCCTGCCACATCCTTGCTAAACATAAATGGAACATACATCGATATACATCTCTAAAAAGATTTGCATAAGGGACCCTGCTTACACTATTTTATAAATGTCCATGTGACAATTTACTGTTCATGAAAAAAAGTTGAAATAATTTTTGTATTGTTATTAATCATATTTTCTTGTTATCAATCTATTTACCTGTATGGTAACTTCTCACCCTTGTAAACACCTACATTTAATTGTAGCAGTCTAAAAAATAGACATGCATGACACCATTGACAGGATTGCATTGTGCATCTCTCAAAAAACCACAGGCTATGTTGACTTTCAGGGTGATACATATACAAATCACAATTCACAACAATTTTATCTCCTGCAAGTTTGGTTGCAAATATTGAATTTTGAATCCTTAGAATATGCATCATGTTTCGAAGTATGTAGGGCCAATAATCCAAACAGGCATTAAATCTTCATGTAATTTAAATGTGTAAACTAAAGAATTCAATATTTTATATCTACAGAGAATGCCGATGCACTTTGAACTGAGAGTACATTCTACTGACATGCACTTCCACATTTCTTCAACAGCAGTTTTTATTTCACCCTGACATGTTTCTTGTAGATAGTATCAGTACTATACAGAGTGACATTTCCTGTACTTTAGTGAACAAATGCCACAAATAGACATCCTTATCCAAAACAGTAACCTTTAGAGACATCTAGTAGTCTGCAGGCACAGACTCTAAATTGACACTTTGACTTTACCACAAGTCCTAAAACCTGGCTGGAGAAGAGCCTAGCTCTGTCAGTCTCTGGCTGCGTCTGGAGTAGGTGCAGTACAGAGCCCACATATCAGGTTGTACGCTGTCAGCTTAGTCTCACAGAGCAGACACTGTTACACACTGTGACTGACAAGGATTTGTGCCTGCAAACAAGACGTTCAGAACATGTACATGTAACAGCAACATGTTTGAAATTGAAATTACAAGTTTGAAAATCAGTAACTGGTTAGAATTCATGGTCACAAGTAATGAAATAGAAGCAAAACTCATCATCATTCTCGAGCAAAATCATTAATTAACATCCTTTCACTATGAACATGACTGACAAAGAAAGCAGACAAAATATACAGTTCCTCAGGTAGACAAAGGAACATCCCTTCACTGCTATTATCTAAAAATGTGTAGAACAGGTGTCACATGCATATTCACCTTTTTACATAATAGCAGTGAAGGGATGTTCCTTTGTCTACCTTAGGAACTGTATATTTTGTCCGCTTTCTTTGTCTGTCATGTTCATAGTGTTTATTTTTTATTCTTTGGTTTTTATTGCTTTTATTTGTAATGCTTCAAAATATGGGTCATTGAGAATCCCAGAGAAGGACCCTGGCCTGAAGGGACTTTGTGCATCATGCTTATTAGGTGCATCTAGTACATCAGTTCATATTCCTACCAATTTGCAATCTTACTCATTTTAATTTGGGGTTGTGGGCCATCCTGGTGACGTGTACAAGAAGATACAAATAGATAATTGGGCTGCATACCGGTATGTTTGCAAGCGCACCCACTTGGCGAAAATTCCCCAAGCAATCTACCTTTTACATGACAAACACTATATTTGTATTGCTCAGAGCATGTATAAAAAGCATGATACTGTGTAAATACATACAACATGAACAAACACAGCATGAATTTAGACACTTCAAAGCTTGTTTACATATGCTGTGGTAAATCGCAAGGTTTTTAAAGGCATACAACGGTTCACATTGTATGTATCTTGTAATTGGGGTTCTGACTGTACCATACCAATTAGTGTCAACCACTGCTGCAACTAAGAGGACACTTATTTCATAAAATAATTTAAACGATCATTGATCAAGCTCCATCGATTGCTTTTCAGGACCTATGGCAAATGACTGGCAAATAGAAGTCTACCAAACTACATGGTTTTAATCCTGAACAAAGATTCGCAAAACAATTACATAGCAGCTGCAACCTGTCATTCATTCCTCTTTTTTGTATTTACATTCTAGTTATTTCTTTAAACACTATGAACATGACAGACAAAGAAAGCGGACAAAATATACAGTTCCTCAGGTAGACAAAGGAACATCCCTTCACTGCTATTATGTAAAAAGGTGAATATGCATGTGACACCTGTTCTACACATGTTTACATAATAGCAGTGAAGGAATGTTCCTTTGTCTACCTGAGGAACTGTATATTTTGTCCGCTTTCTATGTCAGTGATGTTCATAGTGAAATCACATTCTAACAAACTACACATAAACCAAACTTATGATACATGTTTTACTATTAGATTTAGTACATTTATATTAATTTGGCACATTATACAACATGTCTTTGAACGCAAAGATATTAGATACAAGAAAAGAGACATGTGAAAATTCCTGTAGAAATAGCAATATAAATACACATGTAATACAGAATACAATTAAATGAATGAACCTCTTTAAACCAAATGCCATTGTAGAATTCAAGCTTAATCAGATATGGTACAGTATACCACTGCAGAAAAAAATGTTGAATTTGTTTATGTGTGCAATGAATGGCAACTGCGTGCAACAAACGACTTGTCCATATATTCACTGAGCTCTGTTTTAGAGGCTTCAGGGGGGTGTTTCACAAAGATCCTAAGTCAAACTTAACTCTAAGTTGGACTTACAAAATTATGGAGAGCCATTCGTAGCCTTAAAATAAAATATATTCAAAAGCTGAAATTCAAGCATTTTAAACTTGTTATAAATTCCACATCAAGAACATGAAATCTCCTTGATAATAGACAAGAATGATTTGAATCAACATTTTATACCTTTTAAAATAACTTCTACAAAATATTTTCATAGATGCTAACGGCTTTCCATAATTTTTAAGTCTTACTTGGAGATAAGTTCAACTTAGGATCTTTGTGAAACACCCCCCTGAAATGTGAAGCATTACACTTCTGGTCACGATGAAAAGCTGCTGCAGTTTTGCAGCTTCATTTCTGAAAGAGCCTTTAGAAGGAACAATAAAATGAGAGGAACGTCCAAGGTGTATGGTCATTTGCTGTCCCATATATAAGAAACCCTGTCGTGTAAAGAGATGAGATCAGTCGCAACTATGAACATAAATCATAGGAGACTGCAAGTTTGCGATTGATTTATAAGAGGACTTGGGATTGATTCGGATCATTAAATCAATGAATGATGTACCGGTAATCTGGAACATAAGGGATAACATGCATGTGCGTTGGACAGATTCTAAGACAACCATCCCCTGTATTACCACCATTTAGATAGTATACATGTACCTCACCCTCTGGTTACTACCACCCCCCCCCCCCCCCCTCCCCACCCAGGTTACCTACCTTCTCAGACAACTGCCCCCAAGACAATACCCCATAGAGCTACCCCATAGAATTAGCCCCTTGGTAGTTCTCCAAGATGTAATTGTCAAGAGGCTGGTTATAGAGGGGGGATATTGTTCCAAGGTTCTAGGACAATCACCCCCGGCCAATTACCAGCAGGACAATTACCTCTTTTTAAAAAAATCAAATACATTCCAGCAGAAATTTAGAGGGAAAAGATGAATTTTTAAGAGCAGAGATTCATAATACCAGGACATGAACAAATTGATACAGGCTCCTTTTACAAGTGACATGGAAATAAGTGCAAGTTAAGGCAAAAATAGGCACTTCAAAATTGTAGAGAGGTACAACTAGGGGCATTAATGATGGATTGCTATCTAGTGCATAAAACATCCTTCATTATCCCATTTAAAAGAAATCTTTACTCATTTCAGCCTCTGAAAACACAGGCAAGCACCAAAAAAGAACAGGGTTATATGATCAATCAATAACTAGTTCAAATGGAGGCCCGTGTAGAGGAGAGTCACCACCTTTGCATGTTGAGAACCCACTGCACTAGCCGTATATTAAAGAGTAGGGGGAAACCCTGTGTAGTGGTTCACCTGCACTATCCCAATCAGTTATTCCAGGAGGAGAGACCCAAGGGTTGCAGTGATTCAGTTCGCTTTTCGCCTCCCAGGCTCAGGTGACGACAAATACACAATAATGATAATAATAACAAATTCACCTCCAAATTCTGCAGCCCCTTATTTATTCATGCAATAGACAAGAATAGATGTACCATTGATTTATTAAATAAATGCAGGAAGAAAGAAAATGCCCTTTATTACATTGTGCAGTATTCTACCACATAGTACCGTGTCCCATGACATAATAGTATAAGCCAACAGCAAATGATGTCATACTTCATGTTTCACCACTCTAAGTTAACAGCGGCATAACATGTTTGCTTTTCTGTTAAGGTTTTATGAATCATACATTTCATCCTTCACAGACAGAGCACATGGAACCCTGGAAATCAGCTACTTCAAGAACTTCAAGAAAACATCTAATTATATTTCCTTTTATATACCATCCGTGAGTTGTAGGACACCATAGCATCAACCTTGTTTACAGACAGAGCACATAGAACTCTGTAATGAGCTCTGTAATGAGCTACTTCAAGAAAACATTTAATTATATTTCCTTTTATATACCATCCATGAGTTTGTAGGACACCATAGCATCGACCTTGTGGATTGACGTTGTGAATGACCTTAACCTGACCTCTTCAGAGTGCTCGATCAGCGACGGTCCAGACTCCTCCCATTTTTCTGGAGTGTTCAGGTCCTTGTCCGTGTAGATGAGCAGGTTGAATTTACCTTAAGAAAAATAATGAAGGAAAGAAAAGCATACCACACAGATGAGCAAAATAACAAGAACCAGAACTGGATAACTAAAATACAAACTTCTGGTTGAAACATTATATATATATATCACTTACTCAAGCATGTTACAATTAAGCAATTTATAAAAACTTTGGACTTGAGACTGCACTCCTGACGACGGATAGTCAACCTGTTCGAAACGTTGAGCCACTCCATTCTCTCCAACCGGCGCTATAGTTCGCTTAGAACTATAAGCTCAAGAAAGATTATCAACAGTCCTTTTCAGGACTACCCATACACTCAAGAAAGATTACCGTACTGACAGTCCCTTTCAGGACTCCCCAATCCTCCCCCTCTCTTTCACATGGTGCAACCGTAAGCCTACTGTAAATTCTACTACGATTGTGTATTTGAACAGATTACAATATTGTGTATTACAAAAATCAAAATAAAGTAAACCTTCCTGATTCCTAACCAAAATTGTAGCATTAGTAGGAAAGGCTAGATCAGATGCAAATTGGGAGCAGTCATGCAACTGGTCTGGTATCAATACGATAAGACTATTTTCAAAATGTATTCAAATGATACACGACATGTTCACCTAGTAATGAGCTAGTTAATTCACCCGTTATGGCCTTATGGCTGTACCACTGTAATCTCGATAGTATTTTTGCTAGGTCAGAAAAAATGTATGCAAGCCCAACCCAACAACATTCTGAATACCGGTATTTAGCTAAGATATTTGTAACTGGTGAATGAAATGATTAGTAAGAGGAACGTAACAAAGACATACAGACACGCATTAATTTTGATTACATTACGAAAATGGCCATCTGCATCTGATGGGGTCATTGTAGCCAAAATTTCACAATATTGATCTTGTAATAAGTGGAGCTACATGTACTTATCAGAGATTACTGTGGTTATGAAACTAAGAACATGGCATTAGTCACTAGACAAGCAATATCTTATTATATCAGGGCCCCCGTCTTATAAAGAGTTGATATCAATTGTAACTTATTTGGGATTGATATAAATTGCAACTATGTACATAAAGACTGGAAACATTTATAAGATGGGACCCAGAACTCATGACATCCTTTCAACTATGAATGCAAGTACACATCACATATTCATCATACATTCATTATTAAAGTTATGGGTAGAAAGCTAAATGACTTACAGGCTGTTTCTAAGAGAGGCAGGAATGTGACGGAAGCTGTGATTTGCTTGATGACTGCTTGTATTCCTTTGTGAATCTCTGATTGTGACTTCTCCCTTGGCTTACTGTAAAAGATAATATACATAATAATAACATTCCGCTTTTATAAAGCGCCCAATACATCAATACAACGATGTGCCTAAGCGCTTAACAGATATATTATTACCCCGGTCATCTGATTCAGGCTTATCCGCACACAATGTATGCACATTTTCCAATCCCTGGGAAGCATTCCAGATGGTGTGCTTTTTTCAAAAGTTACGACACAAGTAAGACTATAGTGAAAAAAATTGTTTGTCTCATCCCAAAAGTATATACCTGTGACAGGAAAACTGGTAGCTTATTTCAGTCTGCCAGCTAGTATTTCAATAATTCACCAAATTCTTAACTTTAAGACTGTTCTTTTAACACTAACCCTAGCCCAAACTTGACATAAAATCCAGTTGCAAAACCAGACCTAACTCTAACAAAATAAAGCATGGAGCAATTATCAAGAGTGAATGTTGGATCAATGTCAGTTAGTGCCGTGAGTTAGGGTGTAATTTCCTCTATGTACATGGCCAGTTTATCTGTGCGTGTACGAGTGTACACGGTTATGGAATTTACCAAAAACAAAAGCAGTATTTCAGCCACGTATTAGTCCCCAATGGTGCAGTATTATCTTTTATGTACTAAAACAAATGGACAAAGGAAACCAGCGGGCATTCGTGTTCAGGGAAAACAAGCATACGCATCAAAGCGAAACCATCACGCTCATGGGAAAGTCAGACCGCAATGATTGGCATTGTTGGCATGACGACAAGAGAAGAGACGCGACGGCATTGGATCAAAATTGTACAGTGACTGGAAATGCGGATACATGTGTACGGGGTCCAGACAACTCGCCACAAAGACAACCCGCCCCAAGACAACCCGCCACAATACCCTGGACATCCCGCCACAATACCCTGGACAACCCGCCACAATACCCTGGACAACTCGCCACAGCCTTTTCGGACAACTCGCCACACTTTTTCCCATCATGATTTCTAGATTTAAAATGAAATGAAATTGTCATTTTTCATGATTTTCGTGCTTTTATAAACACAGTCATTACAAAGAATAAAGAATAAAGTTGATTTCCCTAATTGTAACAATAATATATATTGAAATGAAATTGTCATTTTTCATGATTTTCGTGCTTTTATAAACAGTCATTAAAAAGAATAAAGTTGATTTCCCTTGTAACAATAATATACTTTTGATCTAGAGGTCTATAACAGCTGCATTTTTCTGTCCCAGAATTTTTTTCATGGTAGGATACTGGAAGCACTGGCGTACTGATGGGGGGGGGGGGGGCAGGTAATATTAGAATGTAAAGATACGCCAAAGATACATAGCAGCATATTCCTACCATTAAAAAGTTTCCTGAGACATGAACTTAAAAATCGTAGTCGTAACTCGTAGTCGTAGTACGCCTGGCTTGGGTTCGTCCAAAATAGATTCTTGTTGCAAGCGCAAGGAAAATCATCTTTATTCTTTAGAACAGCTCTCAAAATACTCACAATTTCCATGTTTCCTGTCATAACTGTGTTTATAAAAGCACGAAAATCATGAAAAATGACAATTTCATCTAAGATGAGGGATTTTAGATCTAGAAATCATGAGGGGAAAAAAGTGTGGCGAGTTGTCCGAAAAGGCTGTGGCGAGTTGTCCAGGGTATTGTGGCGGGTTGTCCAGGGTATTGTGGCGGGATGTCCAGGGTATTGTGGCGGGTTGTCTTGGGGCGGGTTGTCTTTGTGGCGAGTTGTCCGGGATTCATGTGTACACAGTCACAGCACTAATGCCAGTACACACCATAGGCAGCATCTGATCCAACATCAAAACTTTTAGACTGTGTCATAGAATTTATTCCTACAAATTTAAACCATCCTATTGAACTTGTTCACAACTTGATAAAGACTAACTTTCAAACAAGGGAAACGCTCTTGGCAGTCTCGCCTGCATTACGCAATTCGATATGATGAAAAATCGAGGTTGGGGCATTATTTATAGGCAGGGTGGCCCATTCACAGGCCCCCAGAAATAAAATCCTTGACTAAGAATCAGAAGTAGAACCGTATGAACCATACCTGTCGTGTGTCATGGATTTATCACACTCTATATCAAACTGCCATCTCTCCAGCACCTCATTGGTTCCCTCAGTGGAGATTGTCACAACCACCTTCTGTACAATCTGCTGATTCAACCATTCTGCATCAAGAAAAGAAGAAAAGGTCAGAGGTCAGAAAAATTCAGGAATAGCATATGTGTAGCAGATCATCTGGTTAGAAATGGCTTTAATACTGAATTTTTAATTGTATACTGAATTTTATTAATCATTTTATAAACATCAATTAACTATCAATCATAATTTGTCCTTTCTTTCTTTCTTTATTTTCTGTTCCTTTTCCTTTCTTTTTCCTTCTATTTATCTCTTTTATCTTATCAATTTCACTAGTGAATGTTTTACATTTGCCTATTTTACATTGTACCATTTGCATTTATTTTTAATGTTGCAGTTTTATTTGTATATTCAAGATGTGTTGGCTCTTAGCTGTGACTTTGAATTTTCATCAATAAGCCTTGTCAATTTCTGTTGGAAATGAAATGAATATGAATTCAATTCAATTCAATTCAGTTTAATTCAGATGCAGAATAAGGATCCATTTTGAGCAGACAGCTATTTTGGGGATAACTGTGACACAGATCTTTTCACAATTGTCTTTGTCATGTTAATCAACACTGGCTACTTTCAAGGAATGTTCTCTCATTATTTGGTGTTGTTATATGAGTATCTTGGTTGAGAAATGTAATAGTGTTTGTTGTGTTGAAAAACCCTCCCAGGAAAATAACAGACATTTGTAAGTGTCAACATTTTGATGAAGGGTTTAACATTGTTTCTAGAACCCAGTGAGGAATTTTATAAAATTAAAAGTTAACAGTTTGGTACCAGAGCCCTGTGTCATAATACTTTTCATTTAAATCATTTTCTTTTTAACTTTCGATGACAAATTTGCTCACAGCCAATCGGGAAATAAAAAAATTATTGTCTTCTTCCAAAACAAAATAAATAATATTACATAAAATTACACAACTTATACAAAATGTATACTTTAATTACATTCATATCAAAATATCAAATGTATAAAAACTAAAAAGTATGAATAAATAAATAATACATACATAAAATACAAATTACATAGAACATAAGGATAAAGGGAAGAAGACTAAAAGGAACAAATAGAGAATATAGAATGAGGGGATTAAAGGGGAATGTAGCCCCAGGGCCGGGTAAAGTAACTCTAAAAACAGAAAGACTAACAAGTACAAAGAGACAGAGAGACTGGGGAGAGAATGGAAAGAAGGGGAAAAAGAAAGGAAAGTAACAGAAATAAGAGAGAGAGGGAGAGAAAGGAAAGAGGGAGAAAGTACATGGCATATTAAAAAGATTAAAAAAGTTATTGGGAGGGCAGCAAATAACTTCAAATAAGTTACCTTTTAGTTGTTCCATTACTGAAGTCAGGTAGGTCTTGAGTTCCTCATCCGTGGTTGTCAGCAGGGGTAACTTGTACATGTCGCATCTTGTGAAGGTCTCTGCTGGATAGATCCCTCTCTGGTATAACAGGTTATTGATTCCATAATCTAAAAGAAAGATGACAGGAATAGTAATGATGATGATGATGATGAGAATATCGATAATAACTAGACGTGGAAATCGCCACGGTATCGATTTAGGTGATCTGCCGCTTTGATCGAGACATGACACATGTAGAAACTCAATCAATGGGAGAATCGGTATTTTAAAAAAATTCGGCCTCCAGTCATATAACATGTCCATGTACAAGCTCATTTAGTAATCAAGGATCAAGAAAGAGTTGGCGAACAACAAAATGCTGAATATGCACGACTCGAAAAACAACAGAGCGGCCCTACACAACCTTGCGCATTGCGTACTTTCTCTTCGCCATGTTGAATTGACTATCCATTGCAATGGCTCGGTTTAGGACAAGGAATCATCCCTTTTCCCATCAAAGAGTCAAAGACTTCTTCAAATTATAATTTGAAGTGCCACAACCTGCTGTTTCACAGTGTTAGATTTTGTGTCAGATTTCGCTTTGGAGCTCCGACGCCTTAATAAAACAACGGTTTGCTTAGCCATGGTTCGAATGTAAGCTGCCTCATGAATTATGCACATAGGGGGGCCTATGGATTTTTCGCATGCGGTGTAGCTCAGCTCAATGCAGAAGTGTTAAACTAGAGGGCATGCATGGGAAGCAAACCGTTGTGCGGCGTCGGAGCTCCCTGGATCTGGAGTTACCTCTCACTTAGTCTCAGCTCAGCCCCGTCTACACAGCGACTAGACTAGAGGTCAATACGCATTAGCATTGACCATATTGACTACTTTAGTTGCTACTGAGGAATAAAGACTTAAAAATGCAAACTAGATGAGAGACAATTTTACGAACAAAGAATAAAAATTGACAGGGACGTCATTAGTCAGGTAACAAGTCAAATTTCACAATTGGTGGGACCGAACACAATCAATTCAAGTCACATTTCCTACTGGAATAGACCCCCTTTCATTACTTTCAAATTGATTTAACTGTCGTCAAACATAATGGTGATATTGCTAGGACTTATATCGATGCTGTAAGATACTTACAAAAGAATTCTGCAACAGTTTCACTCGATCCTCTCAGGGTAATCGTGTTTTTCGTTGTTTGCTGTGTACCCGCCATTTTTTTGATACTGCACGAGCTGATAAACAATGTGATGTGATTGGTCAATCCATATAAACCAGGCAAGGGTCGCCGACCCCCAGAGAAAAACCTAGTCTTATGAACAGACTCTACAGACATACCCTTGAAAATAACAACTTTCTACTCAAATTTTAGTATATGGTGGATGATACAAATTTGAAAGTAGGCCTCCTCCATGTGGTAAAATGATTAAGCATCTCAGTACGAGAATACACCCGACGGTGGCCTGTACTTAGAGCGAAGAAGAGGAAGTGATTAATTATTCCTTTTAAAGCAAGCGAACACCACTTTGTTCAAATGATAGGCTACCATTGATTCACCCCCTTGTTGTTATGTTGTTGTTTTTTTAAAGTTTTTTTTTAGGGGGGTTGGGGGAGGCGGGTGCGTAGCCAGAGTTTGATGTTTGGGGGGGGGGGGTGGGCACATACATGTAATTGATCGACGTCCTGGGGAGGGGTCTAAATAGTTCAACCGATCTTGGAAATGTTAGGAGGCACGTTGTTTTCGTTGCTGTTGCTATTTTTTTCATTTCTTAATTTCTTATTTTGTCAGCTGATCTAGCTCAATTTCGGGGATTGGGGCACTTTAGGGGCATCTGGCAGGCACTTCCCACTACTTAAATTGCCTGGCAGTGGTCATTTGTATATCTGTGGACTCTGCCGAACAATTTCCTATTGATTTAATGTGGTTTCCTTTTCAGTTGATGTAGCTTAATTTTTGACCTCTTTAGGGGCGTTTGGCGGGCACCTTCCACCACTTAAAACGTCTTGCATTGTCCATTCATGTACCTCGAGACTATGGCGAATCTTCTCATAATGTAGCTAGATCAGCTGGAATGGAAACATATGACATATGGGTATCCTTTCCAGCTGATCTAGCTTAAAAAAAAATGACCATTTTGGGGCCTCCCCTGGCCACACCCCCCCCCCCCCACTTAGGACATGCCAGACGGTTAATTCGTTATATGGGGCTATGCGATCTTTACATCCGTGCACATGAAAATTGGTTTTCTTTCCAGCTAGGTTGACCCCCCCCCCCCCCCTGGCTCCCGGACTATATAGGAAAAGGCTAGCTAACCCGGCAATAAAAGGAAAAAAAACGTCATGGTAAGTAGGGTATAATTACGTATCCCTGAAACAAATTAAATAATGAGTCCTTATATCAAGTAATTTCGCCGCAAAAACTGGTTTGACAAATGGAAAAAAGTCTATGCGTATTAAGCTCTTAAAACCCATGAAAACATGGACAACCGCCTGGGCTTTTTCCATAGACCCCGAACCGTAAAACACCGTCCGCAGAGGCGCCTGACCCCACCCCCCCCCCCCCCACAATTTTCCAATTTTCCCTAAAGTGCCCATTCTGACATAGGAAAAGTGCCCCTTTTACTTCAGATAAATATCCATCTGTATTTTTTTTTATAGATGCCCTTTACACCATCTTAAATGTGCCCTATTGATGTGCCCTCTTCATCCCTACTGATAATTGCCCCTCAAGTTCAAATATTAATTTAACAAGTACCCTTTTCCTTTGTAATAAGTGCCCCTTCCCCTACTTATAAGTGCCCCTTTTTATATCTGATGAGTGCCCCTTTTCACCTCTGATAAGTGCCCATTTTTCTTCTAATAAATGCCGATTTTCATTTTTTAATAAGAACCCCTTCCCTTCTCATAACTCTGATAAATGCTTTTATTAAACTCTGATAGGTGTCCATTTTCCTTTGATGAGTGCCCATTTACCTACGTAATGAGTGCTCCTTTCCATTCTAACTAGTGTCCCTATTCTTAGATGGGGATCCCTTTTCAGGTACAAGAAGTTCCCCTTACCACCTCTGATAAGTTCCCCTTCACCTCTTATAATTGCCTCTTTCAAATCTGAGAGGTGCCTCTTATCTTTTGTATGCCCCCTTTTCATTCTTAAAGGCCTAAATGCCCCTTTCATCTCCGGTGAGTGCCCTCATTCTAATGCAGAGGTGCCCCCATCAACTTTGTTATGAATGCCAATTTTTTTTCTTCTCTGAATTCCCCTTTTTACTTTAACACGTGCTCCTGTTCTTTTGTAATAAGTGTCCTTTTCACTTCGGATAACTGCCCCCATTTCTTTTCACCATAACATGTGCCCCTAATTTAAAGTGACTTAGAGCAACTTTTTCTTTAATTTCACTCAAAACTTGCTCGCTACACTCGCTCGCACTTAAAGTTAATATCACTATTTTTCTTATTAAAGGTTTTTTTTGTTGCTTCAAACCACACCAGGTTTTTCCCCCTCAAAAAGCGCACAAATCTTAAACTTTTGCTCGCTCGCTCGCTCGCTCGCTCGCTCGGGGTCCCAACTACCTGGGAGCTTTTAAATTGATGACTTCCTTTTTTCGAGCTCTCAATTAATTATGCCGTCCTCGAATCTATAAAAAATAATATACACCTCCCCCCCCCCCCCCGATCGCCTGCCTTTAGTTTCCCCAGAACTCTCTCTCTCTCTCTTTAGCTATTTTGTCTCCATTCAGCTCTATCCCTCTTAACATTATTACTTCCTCACTCTCTCCTTCTCTCTCTCGTTCGCTCTCTCTCTCTCTCTCTCTCTCTCTCTCTTCCCATCTAAAGATTATTACTCCCCCAAATCCAACCCTCTCTCTCTCCCTCTCCCCCTTTCTCTCTAACCATCGTTGTCCAGTAATCGCCACAAAACCCTCTTTATCATATCTTATCATCATCATCATCCTCGTCATCAAAATCACTAACGTTCTCTCTCTGTCATTATTTTGATAAGGAGAGGGAGCATTAATGTTTCACTCTTCCTTATCCTTTTCATGTCATCGCCCCGTTATCGCTCTCATTGCTTTAATACTCACATATACATGTACATTTGTGTTTTTTTTTTAAATAATTTGTCTTCTTTCATTCAGTTACGTCATCCTATTATCTCTTTGCAAAAGGCCTACAACCTTTTGATTAAATTTCTTAATACCTTTCATAACACAAAATGCATCATGGCAATAAATGAACACCAGACCAAGATTGTAACAAAAATCAAAACAGTAATCAAAACAGTATACGTTGATTCATTTCCATTATTCATGTTCCGTTGATCACATAAGCACATAATCTTTTTTCTTCCCTTTTTCACCCATTTATAATGTTCACACTCTGTAGCCTACAGTAAATACTTTTCAAATACTTTCGGCAGTGAAAGGTAGTCAGCATCCAGCTCACGTTATTTTCATTTGGTCCTATGTATTGGTTGACGTTGTCAATTTAATCCATTATACTTCAGCTTCAGAGTCAAGACTTTAGCGATTCTAAAGGTGTATCTATCAATTTTAGTTGGTCCCCATCACTTGTTTAGTATTAATATTTTGGCAATACCAAACCATGACGTTTCTCCCTTCGACAATTCAAGTATTCCGAAGAGGAATCGAATGCTGAAAGGCATATCCTTGATATACATGAGGCGTGTTTCGACCTTTAAGCGTTGCCTTCGGACCGCTGAAACGACCCTTGACAGTCTGGTTCATCTTGATGGTGTATGAATTCGGGGCGGCACCGACACACCTTGCCTTCCTTTTGGGTCTGGCCGTCATGCTGTACTTCGGCCCGGAATCCGTGTCGAGATTTGGTGTGTATGCAGTCGGGGCAGGACCATCCCTGCGCTTGTCTGGGCGATCACACCGTGCAGCCATGGAGTAACTGGGCGCTCTCTTACCGTCAGGTTTATGCGGGTCCCGGATGTTGTAGTGGTTGGGGCCTGGTCCGTCGACAACAGAGCTCTTGGCGGGCTTAGTTCGCCTGCCCATGGAGTGTGCGGGAGCATCATTCTTCGTGAAGGCACGAGGTCTGAGGTACGTTCCAGGTCCAGGTGTGTCTTCGGGCAGTGGGTAGGCGACTGGATACTTGCACACGCTCCGGAAGGAATACCTAGGAGCCTTCCTCATGGCCTTGTCCGTGATACTGTAATGCGTTGGACCAGGAGTAGAGTCATTTTCTGACTCAAACGGTCTGTATGTCATGGTAGCAAAAGGAGCATCGGAATTTTTCATGGAGTCGCGGAAAAAATACGAATTAGGGCTTGGTCCAAATGTTTTGGGTTCATACGATGGTCGGCTACGGATCGACATCGCCAGCCCTTTGCCGATCTTGCTTCCAACGTTGTAAGAGTTTGGGGCAGGAGTCCTACTCGATACCTGCCAATCGGCACGAAGCCGTTTTGCCAGTGAATATCCCGACTTGGTAGAGGAGTCTTTGACGCTGTAGGCTGCCGGACCCGGGCCAAGCGATTCGCCTTGAACAGCTCGTCTCTGCTGGTTGAGAATTCCAAATGATTTACATTTCCCTTTATCAGTTATCTTTGGAAAGTATGCATTCGGGCCTGGAGTGGGAAGACCATTTGTCGCTGTTCCCGAAGAAAGTGCATTACTCGGATGGCCCACGTTTGCTCCAGGTCGATGCCTTGAGGAGATGCTAGGTTTCGGTGCATGTTTGCCAGTGTTTAGGTAAGACACATTGATATTAGCAGGTCCAATAGTGTTCCCACGGTCTTGTATTTCTTCTGTGATCATAGTCGTGCCTTTCTCCTTCAAGGTGACGGTTTTGATCTTCCATACTAAATCTCCAGACGTGTTGTAGTCACCTGGACCAGGGGCTTTCTTCCTGGTATTGGTCTTGCTACGTCCTACTATGGAATACTGAGGAGCGGCTCGTTGCGTGATCTGGTGCCTTGGCATGAGGTCTCCAGGGCCCGGGCTGGGAAAGGCATGTTGCGTCAGTGGCTTGCCCCCCTTGGGAACGATGTAATCACCCATGGCTGTACGGGTGTGCACAGGTCTGGTTTCGAGTGGAAAGGTGTTTTCTGTGCCATCTTCACCTGACATATGAGTAACGTCTCCCGGCCTGCTTGGTAGCCCTCGTTTTGTTGTCTTCGAAAGCCCCTTTACCTGACTTTCCTCATCAATAGATTCCTCAATAGTCTCCATCGTAGGTTTAGTCGATGATGGTGATGATGTTAATGCAACTACTTGGATGCTAATTATTTACAGGGCTAAATGAGAACCCCGGTTCGTTGTAATTTTTTTTTACTGAGCTTTACACATATTTTCATTCATAACAATTATTAAGGAAATGATAGCGCGCTCTGCGCGTCCACTGGAAACGCGTTGCATGCCTGCAATAGCACCACATTCCTTTTGCGCATCTTGCACACTGCGCGCGCGTGCGTGTCTGTGTAAAATTACTTTTGCTGTGCGCGCGCACCCCTAATTTGATCAGTTAAAAACGTCGTCCACATGGTGCAAGTGCAATATCAATGGATTGATTACATAACGATCTGGAAAAAAGAAGGAAAAACTAAGAAGAACAAGAACTGATTGCTTCGGATAAAACACTGTAGGCTATTTGATTCCATTCGGTGAAAAGGAATGCGCCATCATGCACGAGTCCGAGTCATCAGATAGTCTTCCGAGCCGACAGGACAGTGACTTGATCATCGATGACGAGGGCGAAATCAAGAGGTGGGTCCGGCCCGACTTCCAATTCCATCACTTCATCCAACGATTGACAGAGTCCAACTGGTTCAACACCATCATCATGTTTACCATCGTGATGAACGCGGTGACGATGGCCGTCGAGACCGGTGACACGATTAAGGTTACTTCGACATTTTTGTTCAATGATTTAGTTTTGTTTCTCTCTTTCTGTTTGTGTGTGTAAATTTATTTTTTCTTGGGGGTATTATCACAGTTGATATTATAACCGAATGTTATCGTGAACAAATATATGACGAAAGGGTGACAAGAGGGTGACGAATGTTGGCTGACAAAATATTTGACACAATTTGGCAACGTAACACTGTAACATGGTGATGAACATATAGGGTGACGAAACTGATAAACCGAAGGTGACGAAACCGACGAACTTAAGGTGACGAAACTGACGAATTCAAGGTGACGAAACACAATGCTATGACGAGCTTGGAATGACGAAACATAAGGCGGTAAAATGTAGAGGTTTTGTGGTCTGGTGGATAAGTCACCCCACTGCAGATCACAAGGTACATGGTCCAAATCCCGCCGCGGCATTAATGTTCATTGGCAAGACGTTAATCTAGTACATGTACATTTGCCACCCTCCACCCAGGTGTAAATGGGTACCTGATATGCTTGAGCGCTAGTAATTTTGGCAGTTAAGCTACAACCAGGGTAATGTGTGTCCAGCGCCATATACCTGCGCTATATAAATATTCATATTATTCAAAAAATACAGATTTCACAATGAATTTAATGCACTGAGCCAATGATGAGTGATTGGTTGAAGTATTAAATTTCAGACCCAAACATTACACGTTTTCCTAACCCTCTTTATATTAAGGCAACCTAAATCTCAATCGCAACACAAATTCTGATCTTAGATAATTATAAGCCGAAGCAAATGTCGACGGAGCAAAATGTCTGATTACACATTCTATTCCATATCTTAAAGAACATAATTTTTACTATCTACAACTATACGAAAAACTTGCTGTCTCATAGTGAACATTTTTTCATTTGTGATAGACTTTCTATTCTTTTTAAAATCATACTTTAATTTGCTGTGGTTATTTCATCATTATGCAACTTTCGCTAAATGTTGTAAATGACCGAAATTACACATATTATTTCATTTTCTCAAAATGGTGTTTTGACGTAGGCCAAATACCGGACAGCTTTCGTGACTCTCGATGGGATATTCCTCGGAGTCTACACGGCTGAGTTTATTCTCAAGATCTACGCCGAGCCAATCAAATACTTCTACAGCGCTTACAACCTTTTCGACTTTTTAGTCCTCCTCATCTCATTTGTACAGGTAATATTCTCTTGTAAATCATTTCCACATCGGTGGCGGATTCAGGGGGCGTCATAGCCCCCCCCCCCCTCTCTCTCTCTCTCTCTCTCTCTCTGTATTTGTGTGTCTTCATTATTATCGTAATGTTTAATATTATCATTGTGATTATTATTATCATCATTATAATTATTACTGTTGTTGTTGTTGTTATCATCATTATCATCATCATCATCATCATTACCACCACCACCACCCCACATTCTCCTTTTCCTGTTTGTTCCTTCAATAACTCTGAAGATCAGTTTGAATAATACTGTACCACAAAAAGCTGAGTTGAGAAACGAAAGAGTATCAAGCAGATCCAAGAGAGGCACGAGTAGAGTGATTCGTAGGTACACGCTCGAAATTAATGATGGATGCAGTGAAGAAGATTTTCCTCGTCCTTCGATAAGGAGAAGTCTAGGAAGAGGGGAATACGGGACCCGTTCACAAGCCTTTTTTCAATGAAAAAAAAAAAATCAGTGACAAATCTGCTGATAACCAATCAGAAGCAAAGATTTCAGTAGCTTATAACAAAAACTGTCATTTGGCACTGATGACAAGTTTTGTGAAACAACCCCTGACTGAACAAATGTGTCAATATTTGTCCATCATCATTATACATAATCTCTACCTCTGACTACACTCTATCTCTCAGTATTATCTCACTGTCTCGTCCCTGTCCCTTTCTCTCTCTAGCTCTACCAGCATTATTTTACCTTTCTACCTCTCTTTGAATATGCATATAGATTTTCTTAGGTCAGATACAGACGACCCAGGGTCCAAATCTGAGCGCTTTGCGGACGCTCCGAGCACTCCGAACTCTTAGAACTCTTCGGACAGTGTCCTTTGTTAAAGGTCTTCAGGTATTAACATCTTCTTCTTTTTCTACTTTTCCTTCTTCACCTTCTCCTACTTATCATTACTATATTATTTTCTTTACCCTTTATTCTATTTTTTCTCAAATTCATTGTACGTCTTTAGAATCTCTTACTATACTGCTCCGTTTTCGCCTCGTATAATACCTTTTTAATTCAAACCTACTATATTATGTTACTCAGTACGGGAGCCTATTCACATACAAGCTATGCTTTTTTATTTAGGCTCCCCATATTTTACATCGCCTGTCATATCTATATATTTCGAAACTTCTTACCTATATTCCGTACATTATATTTGACACATTCTCCCTTTGTCTACCAGGTTCTCGTTACCGCTCTGCTGGACACCTTGCGTAACTCTGTCTTCAACGTGATCCTCCTCCTACTCCTCCTCATGTTCCTCTTCGCAATCATGGGCTACTACATCTTCGGCTACAAGGAAGGCATGTCAGACAAGGAGCACTGGGGCGACTTGCCCACAGCCATGCTTACTCTCTTTACATTGGTTACTGTGAGTAACCAGGCGCGGATCCAGGATTTCTTAGGGGAGGGGGCCCAACATTTTTTTTTTTTTGCTCCCGAAAATTTGAAAATCACGCCGGCCGAAAAGTCGCTCAGTGGGGGGGGGGGGGGGGGGGGGGGGTGTACAGAGCACAATTTTTTTTTTTTTTTTTTTTATCCTAAAAAAAAAATTCAATTTGCACCCAACCCCCCAAAAAGGTAAAAATCACGTGATTTTACATGATTTTTTTTCTCAAGGGGGGGGGGGGATCCGCCACTGTGAGTAACAATTACTTTCATTGCAATCTCTGATTGACTTTGGCGATCATGCTGTTCCACAACCCTTGGCTCCTAGCCTTCTCTATAAGCACCTCCCGGTTCTTTCGCTCAATTTTCCCTGTCAAAGCAAGATTCTCTAGGCCTTCTTTACGTGTAATGTGACCCATGAACTTCAACTTCTTTTGCACTCCAGCTCTTCTTATAACTTCCTCATTACTAACTTTGTCAGTCCAAGGGATTTTCACCATTCTTCTTAAAAACTACATTTCGCAATTTTCCAAACGCTTTTAGTATCAGACGCTACGATCCAGGTTTCACTACCATAGATAAGTACTGGGTAAATGTAACAATTCAGTACTCTTATTCTGGTCCTCATATACTCATTGTGCGATTTGTCAGAATTGCAATAACACGTGTAAAATCTAGCTTTTCATCGGTTACAATAAAACAACCGCTTTAATAAATGTACAAGCACATGTTGGAAAAAGCTCTTGGGCAATTTTGCCTCTACCATGCTGACTCACTTGATTGGCGAATCCAAATTAATCTCGATCTAAATACAGTCATGTATGTCCAAATTGCTACTATACTATCGATCGTCCAATATTTTATTTATATCAAAGCTCTCTTGGTCTTTTAAAATGTCCTTCCGCGCATTTTTTTTTCTTTCTTAGCCTAGTCATCTATAGGCCCTACCCTAGACCGAAACGGTATATCTGTAACGAAAATAATTGTTTTTCTAATATAGTCATATGTCTTCAACGATCATCATCTTGTTATAATATAGTCATAATATGCAGGGCCGTAGCCAGAGTTTGGTGGTTGGAGGGGGAGGGGGGGGGGGGGCACATACATGTAATTGATCGACGTCCGTCCTGGGGAGGGCCCAAAAAAGTTCAACCGATCTTGGAAATTTTTAGGGGGCACATCCCCCCCCCCCCCCCCCCCCCCCCGCCGTGGCTACGGGCCTGATAATATGTCTTTGACGGTCATCATGCATCTTGCGGCAGAAATAGAAAAAGAAAGAATTATGTACTGACCGTCCGATTGTATATTTCCGGTAGGAATAAAATTATGATTGATTACATTGTTTCTGTATCCGAGGTGGAAGGGTGGACGGACGTACAGGCTGAACTGGACAAACTGACGGAGATGTCCCGGATATACACCATCATCTTCATTATCCTCGGCCATTTCATCTTCACCAATGTCTTCATCGGAATGATCATCATGAATATTCATGAGGCCACCGAGGCCTACCAGCATGATCAGATGGTGGAACGAGAATTGGTAACAATAAAGTTTGTAATATTTAGATGCTTTCCTGTAGCTGTTATAATGTTGCAGGGGCGTGTCGTTTCTTGGAGGGGCGGAAGGGGTAGTAGCCTCCCGGTAAATTCCCGGTAATGTCTCACACAGCCCTGAAGATACATTGACAACATATAGTGTTTTTTTAAAGCACCAATTCGTAATAATTTGGCTGTATTTGCAATAATATTAAAGGCTGAATGATCTTGATGATTTCCCTATAACAAGTAGAAGGAGCGTCCGTCGGGGGGACAAGATGGCAACCCCCCCCCCCCCTGATTTGATGGAGGCGTAATTGTGTTTAGCTAATGCCCCTGCTGCCATAAACAAGAAAATCGATCGACAGCATAACGCTGCTGAGATTTTGGAGCACTTATTCGTATAAAATTAGACACGCGATATATCTTTATTGGATGAGGGTAACAGACTTCTGTGTTTTGTTATTCATTCTTTTATTTTATTTTCTGTAGACCATTCAACGGAAGAAAGAATACATGATAAGGAGGCAACACGAAGAAGTCAGACTGATGCTCGAAAAACAGGTACAACTTTTTATGTTGTTCATTCCGCTGTTGAAGTTTTTGTTTTCGTTGTTTTCCACTTCTTTTTTCTTCATTTTCTAATTATAAAGCTAATAACGGTTGTTGCAAAATCAATGTGAGTTTTTTAACCTATCTTTTTTTTTTCTTCCTCTTGACCTCTCGATATCGTGTCATACCTCTGTATTTCGGGCTTTATATCGGTCGCTCTCTCTCTCTCTCTCTCTCTCTCTCTCTCCCTCTCTCTCTCTCCCTCTCCCCTCTCTCTTTCTCTCTCCCTCCCTCTCCCCCTCTCTCTCACTCCCTCCCTCTTTCTCTCCCTTTCTCTCGCTCCCTCTATACCCCCTCTCTCTCTCTTTCTTTCAACAGAATCAAGGCGACTATAAGGATTTTTACGATATGGTGAAGGAGTTCCAGGGAACGTTACGTCACGACGACTACACCCTCTCGCTGGATCTAGCTACCAGTCTTCGATGGATCGAAGCATATATCACTACCCTTGACCATCAAGATAACACCATGTATAGGTAATAAGCAGGGCGTGGTCTATGGGGAAGGGATACGATGCAGTTCTATAGCTGGTGGTATACTGGTACGAAAAAGTGGCCATAGTCAGAGTAAATCTCGCTACTATTTCTTTGATGGCATACATTACTAGTACTATATGCTCATTCACAATCAGAACAACACCATGTATAGGTAGGAGGATAGGGCGTGGTTAATGGGGATGGGCGTGGTCTATGGAAAGGGGGTGACAGTGGAACATTGAAGTAGGCCTATACATCGTACCAGTTAAAAGGTATACGAAGAGATAACTAGAGTTGATGGACCATAATAGTTACCAGTCTACGATGGATCGAGGCGTACATAACGACACTTTACCATGAAGATAACACCATATAGGTAAGAGGGTAGGATGTGGCCTTTGGGGATGGGGGGGGGGGGGGGTGAAATTGGTAGCTAGCGGTATCAGCGGTGGTTCGGGGTATGAAGAAATGACTGCGTTCAATGTATTTCGAGCATGGTATCTTCCCGTAAGATTCTCCAGTTTTTCTTCCGTCTCCAAGTTGTTTTTCTCAAGTTCCTTTGTTCATTATTTTTTTTTACTAAATTCATATTTCTTCGTTGGTGACATAGTCTCTACAACTAATTCCTTCACTTACTGTTCTCTACATCAACAACTCCAAACTATCCACCACTCTCCCGATTGTCCAAGCTTCAGCACCATACAATCCGGGCATACAAAACATGGGCCCCGTCTTACAAAGAGTTAATATTATATTGCAACTTATTTGCGATTAATATCAATCGCAACTATGGACATAAGGGACTGCAAACTTGCGATTGATTTGGATCAATCATAACTCTTTGAATGACGGGGCCCAGAGGTGTACGATCCGGTTTTTGATACGGTTGTATACCATTGGCAGGAGTATTTTCTGTAATCGAATTGTCATTTGAATGGGACTAGTTTTCAGATTATCAAAAGATGTAAATTGTAAATTGTGGGATGATTTTTTTCATTTTAATATATTTGTATACATTATTTTAACAACAAAAGTACTCATGCTCTTACCAGGTTTTGTAATTTTTCAAATATATGAACAGTAATTTTTGTATATTTCGCCCAACTTACGTTTCTTGAGAAAGTGGCCTTTAAAGCCACATCTAAAAATATTCGACAAAGGCATTAAGCTACCAGTAGGCCTACATATAGCTTTCCTTTTTGAGTTACGAAAAACACGAAAAACATCAAGTTTATAAGGGATATGAATAATTTAGTTGTTAATTGTGTATATATTTAGCGCCAATCACAACACACGGTTACCTAATTTCTCGGATTGTCATTCTCAATTTTCTAGACTTCAACAGCTTCACTTTGAGATGTGCAACTTACTGGCCATGGCTCTCGAGAAGAAACTCAAGGAACGATATGGACTGTGAATCTACTACAGTGGCGTATCCCATTTCTCTCCGCGGGGGTCGTGTAGGGGCGGCACATTTCTGACCAAAAGTGCTGATAAGCAAAAGAAAGACCAAATTAAACTTAAAGATTCTCACCTTATTTTGTGCATACGACTTGTATTTAAAATCTCTTGTACAAAATGAATAATTGTACACTAATTATAATGTGGTGTATGCAGAGTAAATATGGGCCAGATTTGATTAGACCCAAAGGGCGATGCATGCCCCTTGTGCCCCCTCTCCCGATCCGATCCGCTATGGAAAACCTTCATGGCAGTTGTGTATACCGGAGATGGAACTTGGAAACACACTGGATCTTTCATCCACGTACAAGTTTCTCCCGAGTGTGCTTGCGCTTCTCGTGTATATTTTCCATCTCTTTGGGATGGCAATCACCCGATTAAATTCAATGTGTTAGTGTTAGAACTACTTTTATTTGGCCCCCGCTAATGTGAAAATCGCGCCGACCGATATTTCGTTCTGTGGGGGGGGGGGGGGGGGGTAAGAAATGAGGGGGGATTAACCCACTTACGATTTCTTTCTTTACTTCTTTCTTCTTTTATTTAGATAGGCCTACTAACCCTTGTACGTAACACTCTATTCTCCTACATACTCCTATAAAGGCGTCATGACCCCCCCCCTCCCCCCCCCCCCCCCCCTTTTCAGCTGCTATCGACTCAAGCATTTATGTATAATTATGATAGTTGGCCTTTGCATTTATCTTGATTCTTTTACTTACCTCCACATACTTTCAAGTTTTCAATTATATATATTATATGCATTTGTATTTCTGTGTATTTCAGTTGTCACTCTTTTGTAAATCAGTTATATTATATATTATTATTGTTATTTGAATGTTTTGTATTTGATTTATCAATAAATGCAGAAACATCTGCTTTAAAAAAAAGTAGAAACGTTTTTGCACAGACTTTCAAGTTTTCCATAATATATATGCATTTGTATATGTGTGTGTATTTCAGTTGTCACTCTTTTGTAAATCAGTTATATTATATATTATTATCGTTATTTAAATGTTTTGTATTTGATTTATCAATAAATGCAGAAACATCTGCTTTAAAAAAATGTAGAAGCGTTTTTGCACAGGCCCGCCATTATAGTTAATTTTCCTAATTTTTTTGTTATAATAATTTTTTTAAATACTTATTGCAACCAAAATGTTGGATTTCTTTTTCATTCGTAGCTCTTTACCCTACAAAATAATGATGAATAATTTCATGACCGGAATTTGCAGATCTAAATTATTATAGTTTGAGCCATGTTCTCTTTAAATTTCTTCCTTTTTTGGACGTTGTGTCAAGCCATGTTGCATGGCCTTCTAATTCTCCGATCTCCTTCATTAGCTAAAAGGGGGCGTGGTCAAACATTTACTTATTTACACGTCATTTTGATAGTCTTTTATTCCATACCGTAATCGTGCAACTGTGTTTGCTCATGTTTCGTGCTCTCAATTTCCTAGATTTCTTTCATTTTGTGTGAGTTTTCTATGAAATACGAAGGCCATTAATTGCTTAAACTGTGTAAATTAAGATTGGACTATGATAGCAATGGGAAACTGACAGCTGTTGGAGAAAACGAGTGACTCGGAAACACATCGCTTTAATTCGGTCCCACATATTGCCGTTTGTGCTGCAAAAGTCGATTACATTTACATCAGTAGATGTCTAGAACTTAGAAGAAGAAGAAATTGTATAGAATTGACCACTTATTCTAGTGTAAATCATGGTACGGATACTAGCGAGCGGAGAGATTGTTCAAGACGAGGATCCAAGAGCACAAGCGTCAGGAAACCGACAATCAGGGTCAGGATCGTCTAGACAAATGGTGATTAATCGATGTGAATTTATTAAACTAGACCCCTAGTAACTAAGATGTAGACATTCGGTATCTTCAAATATGTGACCCTGCTGTCCCGGCCCCCCACTCCGGGGTCGGAATGACCACATGCGTGTTACCAAAATGTCCGGTAAAGGGGTACTTTTCGTGCGACAAAGTCCGGCCCGAGAATTGTAAGAAAAGGGGGTGTATTTGACTTTCACCCGAAGATTTCCTTAAAAAGTGGGTGTTTTTTTCTTTTTTTCTCTCATCTCTTTGGAGTTTGGACTCCTGAGAAATTATTACAAATTTAGAAGGGTAAATTGAGCATTTTTCCGAATTTAGGGGGGTCTCCAAGGCAGGAAAAGCCCGCGAAAAGCCAGCGAAAGGGGGGGGGGGTTTCGGAAATGTTGGCAGTCCTCAGTCATAGGGGTGCTTTAAAAAAGAGGGAACAAGCATATGGTACCCTAAATAACACCGAGTGGGGGGGGGGGGGCGGGCCTGCTGTATATTCATGAAATTTTTAAAAATTTCTTATAATAGCTATAATATTATAGCACACAATCATGCCATGGCTTGGGAAAAGGAGCCAGCTTGTGTTGTAGTGTGCCAAGTTTTTCTGAGAGAATTTCTCCAAGCGCTGGTGTTTGCCAATGCTGGTATATTACTTTAAATTAATAAATATGTTTGTACTGCTTGTGTATTTTAAAAATTTGTCGCGATCAAGCAAGATTAAGAATTGTAGATAATGAATTATTAGCATAATAATCGTAGTATAGCAGAATACATGTTTTTAGAATCACCAGAAGTTAGTGTGTCTGCAAAATCGACGAGGTATCGGAGATGCAATATATTTATTGCTACCTGTATATATTGGTAAGACAACGGATATTTCGAAATCCTAAGGCCTTTTTACCTACTTGGTATAGTCATTTTAAACAATGTTAAAAATAAAACACACTGGGTCATGTCTTATTTCCTTCATGGCCTTTACACCATAACATTTTTTTTAAACGTAGTTACCTAGAGATACTATGGAATGCATTTGAAACGATCTTCTTCTATTTCAGGGAAGGATTCAGCATGACAACGACGCGGGCCAGCAAGGAGGTTATGGTGGAGCTTACGGAGGAGAAGGAGCTGGCGGAGGGGCTCATGGAGGTGGAGCAGGAGGAGGAGAAGGGATCTCCATCTTTCAAGTCCTGAATCAGAAATTGCTCGACCTCGGCATTCCTCGATGGTCGTTTGGGACGACGGTGATTGAACCCATCGTGACAGTTGGCTTTCTAGCTGCCTTGCTTCTTCTCGGAGTGAAGGGACTCTTTCTGGGAGCCGTGCTCTTTGCTGCTGTCAAATTCAGTGGAGGAATGGATGGTGGTATGGGGGACAATACCAGCAGGAATACCGGTGGTGGTGGGGGTAGGGGTGGAGGGAGGGGTGGGGTAGGGGTTTTGGTAGGACAACAGGTGGAAGATTGATTGGTAGAAGGAGGTGATGAGAGGAACCACACCCTAAGACTGAATTGAAATTAATCCTCTATCCTAGCAGGGCTCGACACTTAAGGGGTAGGGGTAGGGGTGGAAGAATGATTGGTAAAAGGAGGTGATAAGAGGAACCACACCCTAAAACTGAATTGAAGTTAATCCTCCCAGCAGGGCTCGACACTTACAGCCGCCCGAGACACATGGGGCCCAAGATCTAAATTTGGACCCCCAAATTCTGAAATTTTTACATAGGGCTCATGCATACAGACCCTAAAAAGTTCAATCAAGACCACCATCCAAAAAGTCAGTGCGGAGCCCTGCCCTCAGTGCCATAAGTGGTTTGAACTGCCTAAAGTTTATCATTATATAGTCAAACCTGCTTTAGTGACCACCTGTCTACAACAATCCCAATTTTTGTTTCCCTAGAAAATGGTTTCTCTTTGAAACATGTACTAAAGGAACCTGTCTACAAAGACCACCTTCTGTGTTTCCCTTGGGCAGTCGCTATAGACAGGTTTGACTGTATCTACTATTTTTGGACTGAAAAAGGCCAGTGTTTTTTCCTGAAATCCAAAATGGGAACCTAAATTGATAACTGGATGGTGGTAAACTGATTATAGAAAAAATGAAAACGGAAGCCATGATTAATAATGTCAAAAGAAATCTTATCGTAAGAGATGTTTGTTACCTTATTGGCACCATGAAGAGTGAAATTACGTGGACATTGAATGATAGTCCTAAAAGAGGGATGATTCATCTGATTGCTAGAGTTATTTGATAAGAACAAAAAGTCTCGACAATGAAAGTCAAATCAGTGAGAAATAGCATTCCATTTTTATCATACAGAATATGATATATAATATCATATTGAAAAATCAATAGAGAAAATATAATTACTCTTTAAAAACATAGATAGGTTGTACAATTTATAATCTTTTGGACTGTACAATTGATATTACTGTGGCGTTGGAATGAGGTGTTTGATCATGGCATTTGTGACAGATGCCAGCAAAGCTAGCTGTGGTATGCTTGCTAGTTCACCAACACCACACCGAACCTGAAATCATGATTTTCCCAATCTCAAGGGGCTGGTGTTGGTGAATAGGACAATTACACGTTAGTCATCAACACCAATTGTGAGCATCAGTTCAGTAGATGATATTCAACACCAGCCCTCAACACAGACTACCGAAAATCCATCATATTTTCTGAGGTCGACCTCAACACCAGCACGACTTTAAGTTTGGCGTTGTGGCTGGTGTTAGTGTTCTCACAACACCAGCACCAGCTTTCAACATCAAACTTAAAATCACCCACTGTGAGTGTGACACAAGTCAGATTATCTTCCTAGAGCTAAGGCTAGACTTTAGTTCCAGCCGTTTGAAAAAGTGCCTGGCTGGAATGTTCCCCAGGGAGTGGAGAATGTGCATACATTGTGTATCGGTAAGCCTGAATCCGATGACTGGGTAATAATATATGCTGTTTTCCTGTGGCTGTGACCTATTTCCTTTTGCAGGTATCTGATTTTTAAAATTTTGTGTGATCTGTCAAAAAAGGTGGCCCTTTAATAACCCCCTGGAACCCATTTCACAAAACTTGTCATCAGTGAGAAATGACAGTTTTTGTTATAAGCTACTGAAATCCTTGCTTCTGAATGGTTATCAGTAGATTTGTCACTGATTCTGTCATTGAAAAAGGCTTTGAGAAACGGGTCCGAGGTCTGTGGAGATGCAAAGGTCATCGGTTCAAGCCCCAGCATGGCCCTATAGTGTCTTTGGCAAGACATTAAACTACATTCGCTTCTCTTCATCCAGGGGGTTGTTTCAAAAAGACTAAGATCAACCTTAAGTTGGACTTAACTATGGCAGGCCCTTCATGCCACTATTTGCTCTCTCCGTTATGATCTTTAGTAATATTTTTTCCTTCAATATTGAATTATTAAAAATGTAATCTCTGTAGTGACCTTGATTTGTACGTCCCTTGAGAGACCAATGTCTGTAAAATGGTGAGAGAAAACAGTGGCATGAATGGCCTGCCATAGTCAAGTCCAACTTAAAGTCAATCTTAATCTTTGTGAAACACCCTCCTGGTCTGTGGAGATATGAAGGTCGTAGGTTCAAGCCCCAGCATGGCCCTAGTGTCCTTTGGCAAGAGATTAAACTTCATCCAGGTGTTAAATGGGTTTTATTGAATGGTTTATCAGAGTCAAAACAGTTTGGGGAAAAAAAAATTCACATTAGCAGTCAAAAGACTGAATCTGCTGAGAATGATCATTCTACCAGAAGGAAGGAATCCCTTAAATGTTGTAAGGTCCTAGATGAGTAGCATACCTATAGCTGGGGTAATATTGGAGTGCCTTGAGCACCTTGTGTGGTGTATTTAACAATACCCAACATTATCATTATTATTATTATTATGGGTATGTATTAGAAATTATATTAGCCTGTCTGATAACATGTCAATTATGAAATAGGATAATTTACTGAATTTGCAGGGCTAAATTATTGTATGTTGTACCTTTGTGACGTGTAATAATTATGTAATCATATTATATACGTATTGTCTCTGTTGAATGAATCATACAAAAATAAAACCATTCTCATAGTTACATGTACATTGTTACAGTCTATTTTAAATCAGTACAGTATTGATAGTATTCACACACTTTGCTAAACGGCATCAATAACATTTCACAGAGTAGGAAACTATCATGATAGTTACAAAGAAAATAAGCAAACGCTCAAAAAATGATCCTTAGTACAGTGTGTATTTTTCATTTGAATTGTCAGTCACTATTGCAGCATTTTTCAACCCTTTTTAGGAATTTAAATTTTCATTTCGCCCCAATCCCAAATTTATAGCAGACAATTTTTTTTCCATCACTCTTACATAATATATACACATAGGTGAAAGTACACATTTTTTTGCGTGGGGGTCGACACCTCTTGCCCCAAATGTTATTATCCACTTTTTAAAATATGCTCCCTCGCTTGCCAAAATTTGACACTTTTATTACAGAAAAAAAAAAATATATGTATGATGATTTGAAAATTATATAATCGTGCACCTCAATACCCGAATATAATGATATTCGATCAGCTCGATGCAGCGAGGTGCCCGAAGAGAGAGAGAGAGAGAGAGGAGGAAAAAAAAAAGAAGGAAGAGGAGAAGAAGAAAGGATGATGAAATGGAAGTTTTAAGAGTAAGATTGAGAGAAAGAAAAGTGAAAATCGGGTCACACAAATATTTGAGCTAAATATTTCATTTTGTATTTAATTATTTCTTCATGATATTTACAAGGAATGGTATGAATTAAACAAAGATGTTTTGTTCAATTTAATTTGTAAAAAAAAATGAAAAAATAAAAACCCTTATAGATGACCTAACAAAGATGACCTTACCCCCCCCCCCTCCCCCCAACGGAACGGAATGTCGATGGGTCAAATTTTCAGGACCCCCCCCCCCCCCAAAAAAAAAATGTCCTCTTACCCCCCCTCCCCCCCCCCCCTCCCCCGCTGTTCAGCGGCTGGCTGAGTCATTGCGATTTTTTTGAGACCCCCCCCCCCCAAAAAAAAAAGTGTCCTCTTACCCCCCCCCCCCCTGCTTATTTAGCGGCTGGCTGAGTCGTTGTGAAATTTTTGGCCCGATTTAAACCCCCCCCCCCCTTGAAAAAAATCCTGCGTACGCCACTGCCAGCATCCATCAACCACCTTATGGCAACCAGACAAATCATTATACCCGAGGGTCCTGTTCCTGTCATAGAAAGCAGAAATTAATAATTTGAAAATATGCAAACATTTTTTAATTCATCAAATTGTAAACAAGCTCATTGTGTCCATGTTAACCATTCAGTATCAAATAACCAAGCAAAACTCGAGCCAAATCCAAAAAAGGGTATTAAAGCTTATCGTCGTGATTGTATTCTCTACTTATTTCTTCTTTATATTTTATTTTAATTATGTAGTCTAATGTTTTTAATATTTTCGCTTGATAATAATTATTATGTCAGCTACGAATTGACAGTTTTGGTATACATCTTGGATGTATTATAGCAATAAATCCTGGGCACATGGCGTATTGCAAAAGATAAAAAAGAAAAGAAAGGGAAAGAAGAGAAAGAAAAGAAAAGAAAAGAAATGGAAAGATACTAAACAACAAGAAAAAAATAGAAGGAAACGAAAAGGAATTACATATACGTGTAAAAGGAAAGAAAGAAAAAGATACTAATAAAAATAGCTTAACTGAAAAGAAAAAATGTACACCACTACATCAAATTCGCCCTCCTCTAATTCGACACGCAATGATGCAATCAATCGAAATGTATATTACGTAAATAATGATAAATTGTTAAGTCACATCGAAAAGAAGACCTTCAGGTTAAAGTTATTCATTAAAATTAATCGTTTTCTTTTCCCAGCATCCATGTGACTCTCTTCAAACCTTACTGCTGTTTTTAATTCACCGTTTTCTTGATTTTGTCTTTGCCGAATAAAATAATGATGAAACAAAAAGTGCACCTCAATGAAAATAAAAGCAAAATGTTTATGCTTTGTGATCAAGGACTTAAACAAGGGTATGTTTTTTGTTTTGTTTAAGGGGTAATCATTAATGTGTTCCAACTTTGCCGAAAGTCGGACTACAAAGAACTGAAAATATGTAAGGGTTCTTAAGGCCATAAACAAAGATGTAATTTCAAATAAGGGAGTTACGGGAGTAGCATCCTCGCACCCGTCTAGCAACGTATTTTGGGTGTTCCACCATTTAAGTTCAGCACGTTCAGCAACGCACATGAAATGAAGTGGCTTCCAATGACCACTTTCATGGATCTAGTTGAAGTCGTATTGCTTTACTAGCGGTTTAGCTCCCTCTATAAGCTCTATAGCTAAAACGATGGGAAGGGATGGAATTAATTAACTCATCTCTACGATTTTTTTTCTTTTCGTGAAGATCATTGAATGAATTCAATAATTCGTTCATGAATTAAATTAACAGAGGAAGATGAACATGCAAGAAAAGAAAAGAAAGTAAAGAAAGAAAAAAACAAAAAAAACAAGACAAAACAAAAGAAACGAAAAGAAAAAAAAAGAAGAGAAAAGAAGAAAAAGAGAAGAGAAGGGAGGAGAAGAATAAAAAAAAAAAAAAAAAGAAAGAAGGACAGAAATAGAAAAGACAAAAGAAAAGAAACGAAGGAAAATTATTAAAAAAAAGAAAAGGAAAAGAAGCTCCTCTCGCAAACCCAGTCTGACATCCCTCAAATATAAATGGCTACTGTCCCCGTACCCCCCCGCGAATTTTTCACCCCACAATGAAAAGTTTAACTGAAGATATGATAATCTTCTAAATGTTTGGCACAGATTTTGCATTGATTTTGATTGTGTCCCTATACACTCCAACCCCTCACCAGAGAAATCTTTGATCTGCCACTGTTACATTGTTAAACTAACGTAAAATGGGTAAAAATACGTGATATGACTCACAGAAGTACAGTTTTGTTAGGAATGCTGCCATACCATCATAACATTAATGGGCTGGTGTCAACATTTTCATCTAAAAATGTAACAGACGAAAAAGTTGATCCTGTGCTTTTTAACACCTTTAAAAAAATGAGTACAATTTACATAATCAAATTTTAATTCATTCATTTTAACTGATCCAAATCGAATCGGTTTATTTAAATAAAATCTCAAAATTCACTTTTACATGTATTTCGGAAATCGGATTAGCATCAAGAAATAGAAAAATCAAAGCAGAGTAAATTTCTTGACCGTTGATGAGAAGCTTGTTAGAATGGAAATCCAGACCTAATATTGGTGAATTGTGTTTATCTACTAAAATATTTCCAGTGCAAACAGTTACACTAATTATATAGACTAGGTTATGCGAATCAAATCATCAAAATTCAAGGATCTTTGATACAGAATTTACCCACAGTGCTCGGAATTTATAGTGATGATGAATTTACTTTCCTCCAGACCAAATAGGCCTAGAGCAATTTGTTTACAAGTCAAGACTAGCCATTTATCGCTCGTTTACGTTTGTGAATTTTTGTGTGGGCTAGCAACGTTGTATGGATATGGATCGCTAACGACGAAGCTGATTTGGTCCAGCGCACTGTACTGCTAAACCCGGACCAGCCGCCAGCTCTCGGCGGTGCATTTTGTTTCGATGCTATAGGTAGCTGCTTGCGCTTACTTCACTTCAGTGCAGTGCAGACGGTCTACTTTGTATGCTGGATCGGGAATTCGACAACGGACAACATGATCTGACTGTGAATTTGTTTCGGAAATATTCTTGTCAAAATGTCGACTGCAAACTTAACTGATCTAGAGTGTGAACTTACACAATGTGGAGAGGATACGTGTAGAAATAGATATTGGTATGTTTTCTTGAGTTCCAGTTTGATAACTTTTTTTGGCGGCTTGTTGGGAATTTTGGTTGTTCGACTAGCGGTGCTACTAGGATGCAGGCGTCGGGTGTCGGACAGCCACCGGGCCATCTCCACGAGCAATGTGGCGATGGAGCGCCCGGGGATGATGCAGAATAATGAAGACGTCCCATGGATGACAGCAATTCGTGAATATTCGGCGAGTTTGATATCTGCCCAAACGAAGATTGGAAAGTGCCTGGTAAGTCTGTCGGCAAGACAACTAACTAACTTTAGACCTCACTTATCATTCTTATGAAAATTACATTAATTTTTCAATTTGAACTTAAGAAGTTAAGTGAATCTTAATTTCTGGCCTTAAATTTTTGTTTTTAATGGGAAAATGTCAAGTCTCAAAGTCAAAGAGTGAAAGACTCAACTCACAATTCAAATTTCAGGTTGGGCCAGGCAATTCAAGGGCAAGGCTACAATGATTCTTCCAGATCTTTTATGTTCAAATAAGCTGTTGTTGGTACTGGTAGACTCTAGACTAGAGAACTGAACATTCCTAGTCATATTTTTTAGTATTTTAATTGTTTATCTAGTCTATAGTCTAGAGTCTGTAGAGATCTACTTTTTACTGATGGAAGGCTGGGTATAAAAATTAAAGGGCAACAATTCTTTGTAATAAGTTCACTTGTATGAAAGCAGGAAAAAAAAGCGAAATAGTGAAATAAATCTGACCATTTAAGAGAGTTACCTTAACCTTTGAGTTATGAATGATTAAAATACAAAATCACTTTAAATCAAATCTACAGTATGTGAATCTCAATTTGGCTATTGGTTAATGGATTATGCCGTAGATCTAGGTAACTCTCCTGTTTGCCATGTATGAAATATTCTTTTTTTTCCTTTTTTTTTTGGACCTGCCTTCTCCCTTGTGGCAGTAGGCCTAGACTACTCAAAATATATTGGGGATAGCAAATTATTATCTGCCCTCTAAAAAGAAAAGACTTCCTTGGGTAATAAATTTTGAAAAATTGACATTTTTGTGTCTTGGAAGAATTGGGAAAGTTGTCTGGCACATTGTCACAGTGACATTACCAATTCAACCAATTTGAAGTGCCCATACCTACAGTGTACAGTGATTACAATTTTCAGAAATTCATTAACTTTTTTATCTTTCAGCTATCCAAATTGGGATATTGGTATGATACATGTACTACAGTACAGTTTTTTTAACTTTGATTTGAAATTATGACAAATAATATTGAAGCTTTCTTTCTCAAAGTACAGGTTTAGTGAGGGAGATGCTCAATTGATTTATTCTGTTTTTAAATCGAACTTGACAATGTGATTAGACTTTAAGCAAGGTCAAAGAAGAATTCTTGTGAGTTAAAAGTTTGTAATGATATATTGAGTCAAATTGTTAAAGGTATTAGTATTTTACATTCCTACATGTACGTTGTACATGTAATTGTGGGGGTGTTTTCCTAAAGGATATGTTGATATTTTGTACATGTTTTTATGGAGCTACTTCTTATTGCCACTTATCATTGTAATCAGCAATAAGGTAATAACAATGACATGCAGAGAAATTGAGATCTGAGATATTAAAGGAAACAGATATTCAAATATGAAAGTGATAACTGCTGCTGTTCAAAGTAGGAGGACTCTTCGAGAGGCACTCGCATCCCAGATGAAACCAACAAGTTTACACCCAATGTATTACATGGAATGGATCAAGGTTAGCTTTTCATCTGGTCTCACAAAGCATCAAATTTATCGGAGATCATCATTAATGATTGGAGACTTGGAGTTACAGTCAAGAACATGATCAGAACTGGAGGCGAAAGTCAAGTTTGGAATTAAAGTGCTTTGCATTGGGTGCAGTTCTCTAGACCATCTGAGAGAAATACCATCTACATGTATGTCTCTACGCTTTAGGTATCATCAGATCTGAGGTGCATTTATATGAGTAGGCCTTCATGTATTGCCTGTATATCTGCAGTGCTACACAGTGTATCAGCAAAACAATCTTGGAATTTTCCTGATATCTAGATGTGAAATTCAAGTTTGGAAGTAAAATACTTCATATTGGGTGCAGTTCTCTAGACCATCTCTGAGAATTACAACATGTATCTATACACCGAGGTATCACGATCTGAGGTGCATTCATATGATTATATCGTAGGCATTAAATTGATATCTCTTCAGTGCTACACAGCATAGATCTTGATCATTTTTTTTTATCTTGGAATTTCTGTGATACCTGTAATACCTCAGTCACAAGGGTGAGACTGACAGAACAACAGCAGACCAAACTATATTTCAGTACACCAAACGGTCAAAACTGGTCTGTGTGGAATCAATTTGGAGTCAGTTATACTGCTATTGTGACCACAATATAACCAATGATAATGGAAAGTCACTTGTAACTGCTTGAAGTGTATGGTCTACAAAGAACAAAGATTGAAAGACATGTGTGACACCTTCAATGATTGAAGTCCAGTGCTTGCTGCAAATGAGTAACCAGGAGAAACTGTAAATTGGCATTGGACCAAGTCGGTAGCCAAAATTGTAATTTATTATTGGATCTGCATGTATCAGTGTACAGTTGTAAGTGTTAGATATGTACATCTATGTGTTGAGGTATCGCTGTATCCAATTAGAGAAGCCAGCACTGTCTAGTTTCAATGTTCTTTCACAGGAAACTTGCTCACTCATTATCAAATCAAACACATTTTATAGCACACTTGTAGACATGTACTGAGTCCAGTCAAATGAAGTTGTTATCAAAGACGTACTGTACTCCAATTTCAGGAAATATCTGCTATCTGATAGCTGTTTCAGACCTTCAGTTTTCTCACATCCAGTGGCAGATCCAGATATGCTGGAATGGGGGGGGGGGGGGGGGGGGGGGGATACAAGTCTGAAAAATTGCTGACAAGCAAAACAAATAAATGAATGGTCATTAATAATTATTTGATGCCTCTTCAAACCAAATTCAGTGTCAAAGTTTTCACATTTTTCATCCCCCCTTTTTTGGTCAAAAGGGGGGATGAGGGGGGGGGGGGGGGGTGATTGAGTTTTGCGGTTGGGGAGATCATGCCCCTTGTCCCCCTCCTGGATCTGCCAAATAACATACATACTGTACATGTATGTAAAATAATTTATAACTACTTTTGAAACATTATTAACATGCACATGAATTCTGTTTAAATTATTCACCTATGCATGCCAACTGTCTTCGAACTAAGAATTCCCATTTTCGTTACTATCACATACACATGCATACATGCATTGCACAATATTTCAATATCAATAGACCACTGACTTGTCATGTAGACAACGATGAACAGCATACAGCATATCTCCAGAATTCAAGGTTATCTGTTGTGCCATGTGGTAGGATGTTTGTACTGTCTCCCCTATGAAAACAATTACCAAGTTCAACTTGCAGTTGATACATTGTGTCCCTAGTGTGTGTTTTTGTACCCCAACAGAGAATGAAAAGTAGTAGGAGTCTGGGAGTGTACCGGTACTTTTTCAGATCCAGAGTTTGAAAGTAAATTTTGAGTTTTGGAAAAGTGTATGCATGAATCGAAAATGAATACGGTAGTGGTAGTCACAGACTGTGACTGTAACTTACATGTACATTGAAATAATTTACAAGACATGGACATTTGTGGGACAACTTTAATAAAATATATGATTATTGAGTAATAAGCAAATATATGAACATACCCCTGTAGTGAGTTAGCAGAAAAAAAATTAAAATTTCATTTAATTTATTTCCACTACTCATAAAAAACAATTTACAATCAGCAATTTACATACATTTAACAAAACAAGAAAATAGCATTCAACAATATTAGATATTATTTGAAATTGAAACTCATTAAAAGGCAGAGCTGTGGCGGGGAAAGATGAAACTAAACATGTACTCAACCCGCTTAATGATGTTAAAAATGTGTAATTCTACTGTATGATTACAGCCAAGGATTTTTAAAGTTCCAATATTGAGCCAGCGCGTTGGCCAGTTTGAATCGATTTTGATGACAGAGTAAAAATTTTGCCTAGAATGAACATTGTTTTTCTTTTTTTGCAAGCTCATAAAAGTATACATGTACTGTACATGACAAGATAAATGATAAGTACATTAATAAAAACAATGATGCACTCATTAAATCATACTTGTAGATATGTAGGAAATCTTAAGACTGTTTTAAACTGCTCAAGACTCTAATTCTTTGAATATGAAATAGCAGAAAATAGGCCTTCATGTATAGAATGTAAAGTGTACAACAAGATATCATTTCCTCATGTCCCCGTACAACAATTTAATTAATGAACAGGATATCAAAATGAGATTAAGTCTGATCATCTAGGACACTTAGTAGACAGAAATAGACTTAATCTATTAAATCATGTTAGAACATGAATTACATTTGATTAAAACTGACCTTTATTGTTTACAGTTATATTGTACATGTACAGTAGTCCTACAATTTATGTAAAATCAAACATGGATGTGGTTAGACGACTATTGTGGTTTTTGCAGTACAATGGTTATTGACATACATACCGCCATTCAAGATGCACAGAGTGTGGTTAACAATGCAATGAATCATGATGGACATTTTAAAATACACATACTATTTACCAGGTACAGTGAACTACAAATGTGCATTTTGAACATGCATTTCATCCCTATTTTCACGAAGTGACGGTAGTGAATGATAATCCCATACAATTTGCGTGCGGATTTTCCTCACTACCGTCACTTCGTGAAAACAGGAACGATTTTAGTGCACAAATTGCGCTTCAACAAGTGCACTTAAAAAGGGTTCTGTCACATTGGGCAAGTCTGTACATTACATGTATTTTTAGTATAGATTTTATTCCTAAAACCTACATGTACACAAGAACACACCTGTATTATGTATAAAATTTTAATTTTTACAGCAAATTTGTTATCACAACAGAGCTTTTAAAGAACTAAAAAAAAAAATTGTTTATAATCTTACCTTGGGGCTTGGGCATTTACATACATGTACATGTGTATCCCATTTTTTGTCTTCCTCCAACCCCCAGCTCTCTGTTATTGTATACAGAGTGAGAAGGCTGGATTAGAAAATCATTGCCCAATTATTTGAGTTTAGGAGATCTTAATTAATCCAATCAGTGGGTTTTATAGCCTGATTTCCTGCCTATAGTTTTGTTAATTTTGTTCATTTAACTGAACATGCCGGTGATTAG